TTCCCCTGATTTGTAAAGTGATTGGATGTACAGACTCACTCAGTTTCTTAAATTATTGCCCGGCTCAATCCATCTTCTTCCACCCGGCGATGGGCAGCCGCGAGGTGCGCGGATTGCGGGCCGGCACACGCGGGAGGTGGCTTTGGGCATCTCCCCCGCCGCTGGCTCCCGTTGGGAACGTGCTGCTGGATGAGCCAGGATGGGCCCTGCCTCTCTTCCAAGGACCAGCCCTCAAAACAGCCTCCGAGGGGCCCAGGCCCCTACTCGAACGCGCATTTTGTGCCCACGGGGCGGCTGTGGGCTGCGTCCCCAGCCGGTGTGACTGCGTGTCGCCGCGTGACGTACAGCTGCGGAAAAGCTGGGACCCCGGTACCCAGCTCACCTGCAGAGGCAGCTGCAGGAGCAGCTCATTCCTTTGGAAGAAAATCAATATTTTAGCCAGCTTTTCCGCCTTGCATCCATCTGTAGTTCTTTTGCCCTGGGAGATATGGGTACATTTGCGGTGTGGGTTGGCAGCCCCAGCCTTTGCCGCGGGAGCCGGGCTCCGGACACGCTCTGCGCCGGGGTGCCCGGGGCTGAGCTTGGCTCTTTGCTGCACCCCAGTTTGCTCGTGCAGTTGTAGGAAGTTGTTGGGTCCTTCTGTGCCTCCCCGTCCTGTACCCAACTCATTTCAGCCCTGTGTGGAACCGCCCCGTGCCGGGCTCCTGCTTGCGCCGTGTCAAACACGACCTGTGTCCAGCTGTGGACATGGAGCGCTCCATGCTCTGCAAAGCGCGGAGAGGTGCCTCCTCAGAAGCCTTTTTGATCAGGAAAAGCCGCTTCTCAGGACCCCATCTCCCCTCCTCGCCCACGCAGACCTCCAAAGTGCAGCTCGGTCCCTGCGGAAAAGGGCACAGTCGGGGCATGGCACTGGAATCAGCCCAGTAATAACATGCATGGTCCAGCCCCATGGTCAGGGGGACCGAACAGCAAAGAGCAACGCTGTTCACCCCCTCTAACTTTATTACTGATCAGTTTTTGCTCCTGGAAGTCGYCCCAGATGCCGTCTCCCCTTCAGCCACCCGCGGCTGGTGGGGAGAAGAGCTGGCATTCGGCTATTCCCAAGCTAATATGGGGCTTCCTTTGAATTACCGTTTTTTGAGCTGGAAGGGAAGGAGGCTGTCACATGAGATATCTGCTATCAGTACACAAATAACAGCCGGCCCATCATCGAGTGGGAAATAATCGCCGTGGAGGCTGAGGCGAGGGGGAGCCGGGAGGGGTTATTACAGGCGCTGGCAGCGGTGATGCTGTCAAGGAGCCTGTGTCAGCACTTCCATTACCACCCACCTGGTTCGGAGCAGCCCAGGAAGCACAACCCGGGGCCGCAGGGCCGCAGAATGGGGTCATTTCTATTCAAAAGAGTTTCAGATCCACTGGCTTTGATTGGGTTTAAATGATGGAGTGTTTAAAAGAGAACGAGGGGGAAATAGGAGGATGAAATGGGGGGAGGCATCACAGGGGAATGGGAGTTCTGTACTCAGACAAGTGGAAAACTGCTTGAGAGGCTGGAAAATTGGGAGAAGCGCTCGTCCTCCTAGGGACAAGGTGAAGCAGGGGAGAGTTTCAGATGGCCACGAGGAAGGACCGGATGCTGAGCAGGTGCCCTCCAGTTACAGCCCGGGACGGCCCTTAGGCCGGAGCGAGCAGGTCCTTGCTCCATGTGCAGCAGGGAACATCCCTGCCGAGCGCGTGTCCCTCCCGATGTCCYCTCGCATGTGCCCGCGGGGCAGCCCTCGCCCGCTGCGCTGAGCACGTGGGATCAAACCCCACTCATTGCATTCCTTTGGCAGCTTGCCGAGCCCTCGCGTCCCGCGAGCTTGGCACGTGGGGAGCGGCGTGGGCGCGCTGCCCGCCCCGTGCTGCACAGTGCCCAGGGGCTGCCCGGGCCCGCAGTGCTGGCTCGCTCCCCGGTTTCCGCTTAAATGCTCCGCAAGGCGGGATCTCCCAGCTTGTGTGCAGCAGGCATGYAAGGGATTCGCCTCAGCGAGGCCTTCAGTAGTACGTAGATGGGTTCCTGGTGCATCTCTGCATTGGCTGTCTCAGGAACTTAAGGGGATGAAGCCGGACAGAGGGAAATTGTTATGGGAGCTAATGAGGGTCCCCAGTGGAGATGCTGCTCCCCTCCCGAGTCCTTGCAGGCTMCGACCTTGCTGTCGAGCTCATGATGGGATCTCATGCTGGATCTTGTGGTAGATCTCGTGCTGGAATCTCGTGGTGGATCTTGTGCTGGATCTTGTGGTGGGATCTCATGGTGGATCTTGKGGTGGGACCTCATGATGTCTGCTCCTGGTCTCTGAGGCAGTGCCTGGGGTAGTGAGGCTGTTGCTGGACCCTTCCTTTGGCTCAGGACATCGAGCATTTGGTGTGGGATATGTGATGGGGGTGCAGGGGGGGCCCTGCTGATGCTGCAATGCTGTGACCCGCAGCCCAGCTCCAAGCCTGGAGCCCTGCTCCTCTTTCCAGTCACTTTGCAGTGAATCAGGAGGACTGCGGGAATCAGCAGGATTATGCTGCTTTCTGACCRCTGTAAGAAGGACCAGGATCGCTACAGGGAACAGGAGGGTTCAGTTTGATCCCCGCCAGGGCCGGGATCCACTTGCAGGCTCCCTCCAAAGGAACCAGCAGAAAAACTCCTCGGCGCRGGGTGCGTTTGCGTCTCGGCTTTCAGAGCAGGAAATATTGGGTTTCGGCACTTGAAGTTAAACATTTCCTCGGGGCGGGCAGAGCGGGGAGCAGCGGGAGCGCCCGGCGCTGCCCTTTCATCTCCCTGGCCCCAGCGAGCGCGGGGCCGGCGGCCCAGGGTAAACACTGCAGCTCAGCCTGGAGAGCCAAGGCGAGAGAGAGGGGCCGGGCAAACAAAAACACAGCTGCCCAGACCCCAAAGCCTGGAAAGGGCCGGGGAGGGTGTCCCGGGAGCGGCTCTCCCGGCCGTGACAGGCACTTGCTGTCCCCTCCGCGCTGCCTGGCACGGCCATTGCCCCACACGGGGCTGTCCGCCCGGGGCCGCGGGCCGGGCTGCCCGTGGCGCTGCGCTGGAGCTGGCAGCGCGCGGCAGGGACGTGGCTGCGCGGGCACCGGCCGCTCGTGCTCGCCGGAGCGGGCGCATCTGTCCCCGCTGTCAGGGCCGCTCCGTGCGGATGCGGCGTGACAGCTGTCACAGCCTCCCTGCGCTTGAATTCATTACAATATCGTTAGCGTCGCCGCTGGCTGAGGCCGCTGCTGCTCATTTCTGGGGCTCGCAATGGCCGGGGAAGGCAGCAAGAGGCTTTCGCATGGCCCGAGATCCCTCCTTGTTCCCCAGCACACGTCCAAAGAGCCGGCGAGGAGCGAGCTCTGCTCCCAGGCCACCCATCCCAGCAGAGCCACTGGGATCCAGCGGAGTCCCGGCATCCAGGGCCACCCTGCGTCTCCTGCAGCAAACACCCCCGGCTCCCTGGAGAGCCAAATCCACGGGATGCTGCCCCTGGCATCTCGCAGTGCGGATGCGGAGGGCTCGTGGCRGCGGCAGCGCCTTTGCCGGCCCCGCAGCGGGATGCAGCAGGATTTCCCGTCCCCCGGAGGCTGCCGGTTTGTTTGGGAGGGAGGCGCAGACGGCAGCATTGTTCCGTGCACAAGCCGCGCTTATAAATAGCAGGTGCTCGGGGACGCTGCCGGGCTATTCTGGGCCCCGGCGACACAAAAGTGGAAAAGTTCCAGCAGGAATTGCTGGAATGCCGACCTTTCCCGCAAGGTCAGCGGGAGCGGCAGGTTTGGGTTCGGGCTGGTTTCTGAGCATTATTTGAGCACGGAGCGGGGCGAGGGCAGAGCCTGTGCCTGGGAGAGGGGGTCCGTGAGGATCCATCCGTGGCTCTGCGTGTGAATGGTGGGGAAGCCCCAAGGAGGGATGGAGCCTTCGCCACCATCCGCAAGCAGGAGCGCTCCTCATCAGTGGCCAACTCGGAAGCCACCTCCATAGCCTTGCTCTGACTTGCCACCCCCGTGCCTCAGTTTCCCCCACGGTGGGTGGAAGGGGAGGCCTGCGAGTGCCCCGCGGGCCGCCCCGTGCAGCCGGGCACGTCGGCTCTGCCCGCGCGCCCGCAAGGATGAGCCAAGGTCACTCCAAGCCTGTGCCAGACCCTTCTCTCGTTAAACGCCCGCGCCGCGAGCCGCGGGGACCCGGTAAAGCTGCTCGCACCARTGTTTTATCCTTTGAGAAGGTCTATTCCTTTAATGGGGATTCATTTAACTGGGCTCTACCGTCATTAGGAGCCATAAAATGGCACCTTTTGGCTTCTGATTGGGAGGCCRCGTTGCACGTAGCCCCCTCGTATCCAGCGCCGGCTGCTTTATTGTGCATTACTGCCTCTCCCTCAGATTTAACCAATTTGATCCATGTCTAACGCATAAATAAATAATCCAGCAGGAGGGTTCGCCCGAGCTGACAACAGGCGGCTGTAAAGGTTGTTTCTCCCCGCTGGAGCCRTGTGAGCCGGGCTCCGCACGCCCTCTCATGAGCAGAGCTGCTAATACAGCCGGGCGAGAGGGGCCGGGGGCCCCATGGGCTTTCCTGTTTTATGGAAACTTCATTGTTTGCTTAGAGTTTTATTTTATGTTAAATAGACGCCGTATATTCCTTATAGAGGGGGCAATAAAGTTTCCAAGCTGGAGGAAATTGGCTGAGGAGCAGGGACCGAAACGGGGAAATCTGGCTGTGCTGGCCAAGCGCAAGGGCAGCGTTTYGGGGGCCGAGGAGGCCCCACACGTCCCTCCTGCTGAGGTGGGGGGTCCTCTTGGGACCCAGCGCTCRCCCATCTGTGTTGGGGCTCGAGGCAGGTGAGCAGCTGCCTTGGGGGACCCCCAGGCCCAGGGGCTCTGCGGTTCCTCGGGCTGGGAGCGTGGGCTCCATCCACAGGTCCCTGCTCAGGGTGCCRTGCCTGAAGCTGAAGCTTCCTCCCCTCTTGTCCTCCCTGCAGGCAAAAAGAAGGCGACGCTSTTCGACAGCCAGGCTCCCATCTGCCCCATCTGCCAGGTGCTGCTCCGCCCCGGCGAGCTGCAGGAGCACATGGAGCAGGAGCTGGAGAAGCTCACGCAGCTCAACATCAGGTAAGGAGCCACCGGCACCCGGCCAGGCACTTGGGCAGTCCGAGCCTCCCAGCTCCACACCACTCTGATGGGCTTTGAAAACTCCCGCTCTGCAGGGGGGTTAATAAGCCCCAAATCCACTTTTCTCCTACCCCATCAGTTAGTTCAGTTCCTCTCAGTTGTCCAATTTGGGGACATTTAGTGCTRTCCCATGTTGGAGCAGGTCCTTAGCCAAGTATTGCAGTGCTCCTCCACTGTCCCGCACTGTCTTCTGCTTTCCCCAGCACAGCTAAGTCCTCTGTTAAAAAAAAATAATAATAATAATTGCGTTTTAACTGCTAGCAGTTATTTAGGAAATGGCTATGGCCAAGGGTTGGCAGATCCCTGCCTTAATAAAACTCAGCAGTCTTGGAAAAGAGCGTGTTTATTTCAATTATTAATGAATTCCCCGGTCATTAAAAGGTGAGAAAAGAAATCAAACTGCCGACTAGGAGCTAAGTTACGTCACCAGGTGGTAGGAAAGGGAGGCAGAACGTGTGTGCACGTGTGTACATGTGGGTCGGGGCACCGGGGCTTGCGTAGCTCTGGCAGAGGAAGCAGGATGCAGCCCAGCCTGTGCTCAGCACAGGGTCTTTTTCCTATAAAATGAGCAATAACCAATCGAGGAGAGARATGAAGCCAAGCCCCCCCAAAAGTGGGTCTGAGATGCCCCAAGCGCAGCAGGATGGGGGAGCTCCCATCCATCGCCCCCCCAGCAGGGATGCAGAGGAAGAGCTGGGGGGAAGGAGGGAGCAGCCAGCCCATTTATCCCCCGCGACACCCGCTCCCCTCGCGAGCGTAATTTATGGCGTAATTTGGGCCGCATCCAACTTAATAAAGGGCCACAGCAAATTAGCGAACAGGTTTAAATGAACAGAAGCAATTAGTGCTCGGAGGAGCCCATCAAAGAAGTTGGGCCAATATCGGAGCGGAGCTGGGAGCGCGAGCCAGCAGCGGAGGGTGGCTGGCGCGAGGCGGTGATGGGAAGGTGGCGTTTAATGGGAAAGGAGAGGAAACCCTAAATCATAAAGCGTGACAAGGGCCATTGTGGGCCAGCTGACAAATGAAAAAGAATGGCATTATTCCTTTAAATAACCGCGGCAGTTAGAGAGGAGACAGCTCGCTGCGGCTCGCCCGCGCTTCCCGCCCGCTCCGCACGCCCGCGCAGGCGGCCAAGAAGCACCGGAGGTCGTTATTAATTATTAAATAACGACCTGCTCCGCGCYGTGATAGATAACATTGGGTCCAGCCCATGGGCTTGGGCCATAGAGGCTGCTCTGCACTGGTTTGGGAATGGGCACGAGCATCCCTGTGGCACCAGGCGCGGGATGCAGGCGGCTCCGGTCCCGGGGAGCGGCGCAGCGCCTTCTCCCATTCCCCCACCTTGGCCGCCTGGAAGAGCCGGGAGCAAGAGCACGTCGACGAGGGGAGAGAGAGAAACTAATAATGATCTCAAATAACCCAATAAACATAAAAATAAAATGTAGGCCTATAAACGTGACGGGCACCGGCAGCCCCGGCCGCTCCCTGCCAATACGGGCTCGTTACCGAAATGGCCGAGCAGCTGTTCCTTATCAGTCTGATGGGCAGGAGCGAACCGGGGGGCTGCCTTCCAACGGCCCTTCTCCTCCCCCACCCTTTTATTTTATTTTATTTTATTTTATTTTATTTTATTTTATTTTATTTTATTTTATTTTAAATTTAAAGAGGATGCAGCCAATCATAGCTTGCGCTGTTAAGTTTTAATAAACCTTAACGATTTGCAACGCAATCATAAATTCCCAGCGCTCAGGGTGAGGAAGGCATATCTCTTCGTGCCCCTTGAGCCTGCAGCGACAGTGGCTTGGGGGGCACCGATGCCACAGAGGGCTGAGCCGTGGGGCCGGGTGGGCAGCAGGGGAGATGCTCACTGGGCATTTGCAGCATCGCCCCAGCGAGGAGCTGGGCATCACTGGGAGGGAACAGGGCTGCTCCCAGGGCTGCGAGGGCCACCAAGACTTCTCCTTGGAAAAGGTGGGTGATGGACCAGGTCCTGCCCTTGCTCCATCCCCATCCCGGTGCATCCCTTCCCCTCATCCTCATCCAGTGTTAGCGGCTGCTCCGTGGGCCGGCCRAGCCCCGCRCGGCTCCGCGCGGCCAGGCAGGCCTCTCTGAATGCAAATTTCATTTCTGAGCCACTGGCGCCGTTTCAAGAGCCGCCAGCCTCCGAGCCCTTCTCGGTGTTACATATGTAACAGCCTCATTGAACTTGACATGTCAAATTCAGGCCATTTGTGCAAAATCTCCCTTTAATAATACCGTTTCATTTCGCTCAAATGAGACTTGAATGCATGTAAAATGGAAAAGGATATTTAAGCGCTAACATTAGGCAGATGTCTTGCCAGAGGCCGATTGAATATATGAGATTTTGAAGTGCTTAACACGTTTTCGGTGCTCCCTCTTAGAATATGTCACCTGGCTTTCTTTTTTCTCCCCCTCCTTCCATTCTTTTTTTTCACCCCTCTTTAAGTGAACGGTATAAATTGAAAGAAAACAAACCTACAAGCCTTGGTTTTATGGGGTTTAACTCTTRCAGGGCGGCACTGTCGCTGCTCCCGCTCCAGGGAGGAATTCCCTTGCGGCTCTCCTTGCACAACAGGGCAGAGAGCAGGGCCTGGGCAGCCCCCCTGCAAAGGTGCCAAGGTCCTGCTGAATCACCAAGTGCCATCCAGGTGAAAATAAGAAATAATAATAGCCACCCTCTCTGTACTTATGCCCTGTGCCCACAGCCAGCCTGGGCCCTGCAGAATACATGAATATTCCCCAGCTCGTGCACATTCAGCTCACCTGTGCACGAGGTGCAGGTCTCCTGTGCTCAGGGGATTTMTATTTACCCACTTTATACCTTACCCATATTGGAGGCTTGCAGAAAAGCACGCTGATGTGTAAGGCTTTCCCCAGCTGGGTCAGTGGCCCCAGGCACCCAGAAGCTACATGCAGGCTGTTGAGGAGCACATGCTTTTGGGGTTCCCTGGAATATGTGCCTGATATCTGGGCCAGTTTTTTTTTCCAGGAGCAGAAACGAAGGCAGTAGGAGCTGATGAAGGTGAACAGAGGAAGAAACGAGGGCAGAGCAGAAGCAGGACGAGGAAAGGAGCCAGGGGATGTGCTAGGAGCGAAGCGCAAGAGAAACCCAGCAGATTGAGGGAGATGTTTAAAAGAAGGTTCTGGAAGTGGCAGGGCTCTGCTGGGAGGGAACAGCAGGATCTGCCTGCCAAATGCTGGGGTTTCAGAGGCACCAGGGTCCTCGGCTGTCAGAAGAGCAGTGAAATGACTTGCCAGCGCGTGTGCCTCTCCAAAGGGTCCCAAAGAGGTAGCTCAGGAGGCGCGGGGCGCTCTGTGGAGACTGCCTGTGCTGATGGTTGTCAGTCTGCCCATGGTGCAATTTATTGGCCATTTAAAAAATCATAGGAAATTACAAATATTGCAATTGCTGAATCAAGCATTTGAAGGGATATGGGGTTTTGGATGCAGTTTGTCTGACAACGTGAAAATGTTGTTCCTGCAAATGCAGTGGGCTTTTTTTAAAATATGTTTGGCAGGGGGTGTTTTTGTTTGCCTGCATGAGGGCATTGTGGAGTTTGGCATTATAGCTGAGCAGACACGTCTGATGGACGTGCCCAGGTGAGCAGAGGGGAGACAACACTGTCCTTGCTGTGCTCTGTGGCTGTGCAAACCCTCCCCTTCTCCCCTTTCCTTCCTGCCTATCCTCCTCCCTGAATCCCAGCCCTATCTGACCATTCCAGTGTTTGAAGCCCGTGTCCACCTCCTCCTCCCCCTTGGCYGTTCCCCACCTGGGTAAGTGAGTCTCGTTGCTCCCTGACACGATGCCAAGAGCAGAGAGATGCCAATGTGTGCCCAGCACCACGAGTTACACCTGGAGGGGCATCAGGGAATAAATTATCCCTTGATTCCTYGATGATGAAGCACTTCCTCCAACAGAGAGGGCACCAGAGTCTCCATTTGCCTTGGAGCAAATGGAAAATGCTGCTTTCTGGTGACCTCAGAGATGCCATGRGGAAGAGGGAGCCAAGTGCTGTCAGGGAAAGGAGGGCAGAGCAGGACACAGTGGGGATGCCTGTCTCAAAGCAGGTGACGTGTCCATGCAGGGGTTGAGCGTGGCGGTTGGAGCCAGCCTTGATCCATGTCGGAGGAGAAGAGCCAGCCAAGAGCCTGTGGTGGCTCTAGCTCCTGCAGCAGCTCCCAGTGCATCTCTGCCCAGGCTTGAATCTTCTCTYGTCATCCTCCTGGAGCTCCCCCTGTCCCTCATGTGCACGGGTGCTCTCCTCTCCAYGTTCTTCATCATCATCCTTCACTGGCAAATGGAAGTGCTTCCACACTGTGTTGTGCATCCTCATCCTGTCCGGAGAGCTCCAGACTCTCCAGTGGCATAAGGAGCAAGCAGATGTTCAGCAAYACAGTTCGGGAATCACTTCATCTCCAAGGGGTCTGCTAAGTATCATGTTACCCCAAAAAGCCCTTGGAAAAGACCTGCTCAGGGCCAGAGCGGGCGGCTGGGCTGGAGAGGGTGAGGTGGCCGTGCTGCCACCCGGCAGGATAAATAGAGTGTGTAAAGCCCAAATTAGCTGTGTTGTCAGGTGTCACRCCGGGGTCACGGCTCTCGCCTCAGGTCTCCTCGATTTATGCCTGGAGACTTCAACCCGACAGCCAGCCGCTCTGCAGGCCTCTGTGCCGGGAGCGCTGTAGGTCCGGAGCCTCCGAGTGCGGGAGATGAGAGACCCGGGCGAGCGAGAGGGCTCTTTCCTCAAAGCTGCACTGAAGTGCCTGCTAATTCCCTTCCTCCAAGCCAGCACTAGCCRAGAGCACCAACAAGTGAGTTTGCAACCAGGGAGAACAACCACATGGCAGCTCCCTCCTGCTCCTCAACTTCCTTCTCTCCTTCCTCCCGCTTCTTTTCCACCCCCTTCTTTTTCATGATTTCT